TGTTGATTTTATATATACTTGGTAGTTCGAGGAACTAAAAAATAATATCATTATAAATACCTTCAATGGCACAATAATTATAATTATATTTGTCAACTGATTGGTCAACATATGGGTTGGTGGATGCACAAGGTCATTTTTATTCTGAAAGAACACCTCTCAGTGGACCTTAATTATTGATACTTATGTAGGCCTACTGGTCCTGTCGTAATAAAGAATAGTTAGTCGCTATTAGTGAGTTGCTAAAATGTCAGGAAAAGGGAGTCGAATTGCTTATATGGATGTTCGCTTATGGAAAGAAATGCCTATATTGCTGCCGGGGGTGGTGGGGAATAAAATGTTCAGGCCTGCCAATTACTCTTCCTTTTCTAATAAATGTGGTATATCACGCTCTGTAAAATTAAGGAAAGGGGTAGGGCACTGGGACATACAGTACTTTCCTCAAGATATTTGCAAAAATTATTGATGCTATAACAGAGGTGATGTGATATCGCTACTGCAGAGGTATACAGATGTAAAGGACATAAAACGCTTCTTCAGAGGTCCCTCACGACACCCAATGAATAAAATTTTAAATAGAATATTTACAAATTATTAGTTTAAGAATAGCTCTCAAAACTCTATTGTTGTCCCTTTTGTGCACAAACCCCCAATGCTGGACCCTCAAATTTCCAAAGGTTCACTTTGTAAAACCCATTTTTACTATCGTTCCTAATTATTGCCAAATGCTGTAGCATGCATTTCATTTACCATCTCTTCTAACTGTTAATATTTAATAAATGTGGTACGAGTATGTTATTTTGCGGCTTTATCCATATTAACAACTTCTAGGCATACATATGTACAGGTGTCAGGACATGAAGCGCTACTTCTTCAGGTCCCCAATAACCCCAAAATTATGGTTTTGCAGAAATCTACTATATAGGCCCAAAGCTTTGCCCCCAAACCACCAAGGGCACTGCCCTTTATCCATCTTGGATCATAGGTGGCATGCAGACTAAAGACCATGTTGCTAGCAAAATGCATCCCCACCCCCATCGAAATTGTCACGGGAAGAAATGTGCATCCTTATACTGACCCCCATGGCAAAAGGGCATAACTGACATTTTTGGCGAAAATAAGTTATATAGCCTAGTGGGGTCAGTACATCATGTTACACATGTTGACAGAAAAAAAATTGTAAAAAAGTGTCCCCCGGCTAGATAGGGGCATGGCAAAAGGGCATAACTACACAATTTTCAGTAAATTCCCAAGGCAAAAGGGCATAACTGCAAAGATAGGCTGTGATACGCTGAATCGTGACGTTCTTTCAACAGCCAACTAATTAGAACAGAGCTTTCTCCCTGGTTACAATGAAGGTTGCATGTTAAGTTTTATTATTTTTATTATTCTTACTGTTTGTGTACTCACAATTTGTAAATAGAAATTGGTTAAATAGTATGATTCTTGACAGTAGCATATGTCTAGTTAATGTTAGGCAAACATGGTAAGTCTAGTTAATTTATGCTATATAATCTTGCCTTACTTTGAATGGCAACAGTTTAATACTATGGAAATAAACTATGGGAAAATATGAAATCAAATACTAAAACACATTTTAGTGCTAAATAAATTACACATTTTGCTTAATATCTGCAAAATATCAAATTGTCAGTTATGCCCTTTTGCCATGGGAATAGGCCAGAATAGGCCTTGATAGATTATGGTGAGCCCAGTGAGGTTCAAAATCGGGCGATCATTATAGGCTTTATGAGAGCGTCTAACTACTATAGAAAAACGAAGCCCAAACCTCTATTTGTACCAAAAATTTACTATATTTAGCCCAGGTGAAGTTTTTGATTAAAACATTTTTTTAAACCGTCTGTAATATTTTGACACTATTATTGATCAGTGAGGTATAATATATAACACACAGGATATAGTTAAATCTCAACAAAAATAAAAAACTTTAACCAAAAAAAATTGCCAAATTGGGAATTTTAAAAACCTTTACGTAAGATGTTATTGACTAGTAAGGTAATATATAATTGGTTAAAATGTATTTTTTACATAGAACTGCAATTATAGTTTTATATAGACAAATCTAATTTTTTCCCAATGCCTTTATAAGATTCTAATATATTATTGACTATCGAGGTATAATACTGTATTGGTTAAAATGTATTTTTACATACAGAGCAAATCAGTATAAATATCAAAAAATTCTATTTTGTACCGAAAATCGTCGTTTAAACTAAAAAATAGGCACAATTGTGATTCTTTAAGACTGTAATGTCAGATTCTGACACATTATTGATCAGTGAGGTATGATATCGATTAAAATATATTTTTACATGCAGAGCATGTTAGTTATAATTTAAATGTCAACAGATCTATAATTTTTAACAAGAAAAATAATATTTTTCGCCTTAAAATGACAAAACAATTGTGTTTTTTTTACATATGAATTCTTAGGCCACATTTTTGCAACGAAACAATCAAATTTAATTGGCCCATATTCACTGCAGCGAATTGACCTTCAGAAGCCTTTGTTATCCTTTTTATAAGTGGTAATTATTAGGCCTGCTTTTGGTTTTTATGCATTGTTTGAGTCTTAAATATTATTATTAACAGTAGTACTGTTCTAGTTTAACAATTTTACAATCTAGGCTATAATGGTCATTCATATTTTACTACGCACTTTTCCTAGCCAGCCTGAATCCGGCTATCGAAGACCTGCTCGATAATGGTACGTTCCTGCTTCTTACCAGCTGGCAAAGAACCCTACAACCGTTTGTTTTAGAATTTTACATTGTCAAACAATAACACTCAGTAAATGTTGACAACATATTATTACTTAATGAGTATGTAGAAGGTGGAAATAAAATACCTAAAGGAAATTGGCCAATTTAAGGCAAAGATTCATAACAACAGTACAACGCAGATTCATTCATTAACAATAACGGAAGGCTATACAAAAGCTATAAATTTTCGCTGGCATAATGCTTAGATAGGATTGTTAATTCATATTGAAATTAGTGTTTTGACGGTGAATTTTTTCATCCAATGAGAATATATTTTATATGAGAAGAATCTATGAATATTCAACTCTCATTTTACCGGAGGAACTACAAGATAATATTGATTGGTAAACAGTCGAAATGGCAATTTAAAGCCAACGAAGTCGCTAAATAGAGATAAAAATGCAGTCTCTACGCGGTGGTGTGGGGTCAGCATAGCACCAATCGAAAAGTGAAAAATGACGGTGACTTTTTTCAAGCAATACAATTATAAGAAATACTAAAGCAATAAGAAAAGAATTGCCTTTCAAATGCCGAATGGAACACAAAGTATTTGCTGAGATACGACTGTGGAAAGACGAAAAATGACCCCAAAAATGCAGCGTGAAACACTAATTTGCTAGGCTATTCTCTCTCTTAAACAAAAATGTTGCTAGAATAATCCCTATGACCCTTATGTCAGGATTCTGACATGTTATCGACAAGTGAGGTATACTTTTGATTAGAATATTTTTACATGCAAAGCATATCAGGTATATTTTAAATGTCATAAAATCCTTATTTATTTCAAAAAAAATTATGTTTTTAGCCAAAAAAAGTGTCAACAAGTAGAGTTTTTTATTTATTTATTTTTTGGTTTTGTTGATAAAACTATTTCATTCTTATATGCTTATTGTGAAAAAAGGAATGACTATATAGATTCTAAGCCTGTTTGTACAAGTAGGCCCTGTACTATAATAGTCAAAAATACTAAAATATTTATAAAAAAAAAAAAAACATTTTTCCCAAAAAATTCTATTTTTACACCAAAAATTCAATTTTTTACCCCCCAAATATTTTTTTTTTGGCTCCAGAGATTTTCAAATTGTATGCCCTTACTAATATCTGTATCAAATTTGGCACTTTTGTCATGCAGGTAATCCAATTATTAGTCTATGCTCAAGGTTAAAATCAAGATTAACATAAAAGCGACTTTTTCGTTTAAAAAATCTGTTATTTTCTTTATATTTTTTCATCTTTATTTGCTTATTTCTGACTAAACAATATTGATTCTGAACCTATTTCTACAGGTAGGGCTTGCACTATAGCAGTAAAAAAAAAACATATTGAAAACTGTATTTTTGCCAAAAACGCGATTTTTTAACCCAAAAATAAGATTTTATTTTTGGCTCCAGAGATTTTCTTGAAAAGCAAGTTGATAAAAGTATCTCCACCAAAAATTAAAGTCTTGTCATCCGTGTAATGATTCTTCCATATTTTGACGTTAAGACACTCTACTATATTAGTTTTTGTTTATTAAACATGGTCGATCCATCATACTCCTATAGCATTAATTAATACGGTATTCATCAAAAACGATATTATTTTGTGAATGTGTCGCAAAATCCGTTTATCATTGTGAAGATAGTTTAAGTAGACCTATAAGTTACGTCTTACCTAATACCTTTTCTATGGAAGGCCAAGTGTAATGTAAAATCTACGTAATAATACTACATGTCGTTATGCTTAAACTCGAAAACTGATTGAATCTGATTGTTATATTTTCCCTCAAAATTCACTCTACTTTTTTGTTGGTAGGATAGGATAGTCAGATGCCACTTTCACTTGAGCTCCTGTGAGTTCTGTTCCAGCGAGCTCTTAATGGGAGCTTCAACGTGCTGGAGGACGGAGCGGTGAAAAGGGTTCCTCTGCGTTTATTTTCTTTTTTGGTTACTGTTAGGATATTTTATGTTCAAGTTCTTTTATGTGGAAAGCGCTTAGAAGCATTGTTTTGCATTTCGCTCTATATTATTATTATTATTATTATTATTATTATTATTATTATTATTATTATTATTATTATTATTTCGTTAACTAGGAAAAGCATAAAAACATAGTTTTGAATTTGTTAAAGTATTAGACTACTACCCGAATACCCCTTCCGCTTTTTATATAATATTATTCGTCCATTTATAAGAGTTTAATTATCTTAATGATAATATTTTGATAACAAATTTTAAGGTAATGATTCAAGACAAAGACACAGGGCAAAATGTAGTAGTGGCAACCTTACGAGAGGGAAACTACTTTGGTGAAATAAGTTTGCTGAAATTGGACGAAGGGCAGAACAGAAGAACAGCTGATGTGGTGTCAGTTGGCTATTCGGAACTGCTGTGTCTATCCAAGAAAGATCTCATGATGGTAAAAAATACTCCTGCCAATATTACATTACACCACATGTCACTCTTCACATTTTCCATTTTTTTAAATTGTTGTAATTTGTTTTAATTGGTCTTTGTTTTTGTGAGACTGTACTTTTGTGATCCATGGGGTTCTTGAATAATGATCAATGTTAAGCCTACCAATGTTTTTCCGAATTATTGAGGTTTTGCTAGAGCTTCATCATGGGTAAAGCTCCGAGAGGGCCACCTCTGATTATTTTTATTATATATTGCTGTTATTGTTAATGTATGTATGTATATTATTTTTGTATGTATGTAGTCTCATTATTTTATCCAGCACAATACTCTTTTTTTCATTAGGCTTTGGTAGAATATCCTGACGCAAAAAAAATTTTGGAGAAACATGGCCGAGACAGGATGGAGAAAAACAGAGAAGCAACGTAATAACTACAATAAATAAAAATAAATTAATATCAAACAATATAAAGTTTATAAACACTTTATCGAAATGAGATGCCGTCTATGAAATAATTGCCGAATTCTCTGTGTCATCCATACGATGTGTTTCCTTGTGGTAATGGCAATTGTACAGTCCTTGCTAAAACCCCTGATTTGTTTTGGGTTTATGGAGCACACTGGGGTGCAACTTAAAAAGGGCCATTAACGTTTATTGGAATCAATTTTAGTTTATGTGTATAAAATTTCCTGCACGTCCCCCGTTCAAAACTGGCACCGAATCAATGGGCCGAGTGTTTTAGAGCTTCCCATCGGAGCCAATAATAATAATATAAATAATTGGCCGCTAACAATAATAACAATTCTTGGTCATAAGGGCCGCCCATACAAAAAAAAATTATTATAGCAAAATAGATATAATTACCAAAATAGATCTATTACCTATTTCTAATCAATCAGCATGGTACACCTAAAAACTTTATTTTGTAGAAAGTACTTATAACCTAACTTCACAACCATATAGCCTAACGTTTGAACGTTCCTACAACGTTTAAAAACGTTATGGAAACGTTCTGTGTTTGCCCTACGCGCCAGTGTACAGGGCCTGGGGGGGGGGGGGGGGGGGGGGACCCAGTAGGGGAAACGGGGCGCACGTGCTCGTACCCATAGTCGGCAAGCCCGTACCCCAAGTTCAGTGTGAGATTTACCTTTGTATTTCAAACATTATGCAAAGAGTATTATTTGTTTTGATAGTAATCATGTTAAACTATATTATTAAAGACAATCTTGCTGAATGTAGACACTGGTCTTCGCTGAGCTCAGCTGCTCTTGAAGACCTTATTGCTAGACGAAAACCTTTTAGCTGGCTGATGTGTGGGAAGGAGCCCATAGGCCTCACATGGCTTACAGGTTAACTCCTACCCAAGAAAGAAATGTATTAATTCATTATTGTCGAGGTCTCGATACTCAACTAGACGCAGGGTTTCCGGAGCGCCACCCTCATCGGCGTGTGCGAAGCACAACCCAGAGTCAGAAGTGGAATGTGAAATTTCGATATGGTTTTTTAGTCAGATTTGCGAGAAAAACTTCAGATACCCGTATTTCTCGACTGAGATGTCAATGGGATCTGCAATTTGCATGGCAAGGAGATGGTGCTACCCTTAATTCGTATTAATTGAAATTACGCATACAAACCTAGTAGTTATTAATATTTTGGTTATAACAGAACATTTTTATTTTTGGTGACATCACACTCACGCTATAGTTAGCATGCATACGTCATAAGCTAGATTACGTCACCTTTTCCTGGTAAGGCAAACTTTCCCGGCGTGCTTTTTTCATGGATAACACCACTGCTTTGCTCATGGATGCCTTGTCTAGCTAGGGCTACAAGAGCCGCATTGTATAATACTTAAATAAGGTACGTCTGCAACTGAAGTATTCTTGGTTATTTCTTTTTTCTTATTTTAATTAATTTCTTTCAAAAGTGTACTTTCTATCACATATAATTATACTGTCTACCCCGCTACACAGTACATCAGTAGGCTAGGCCCCCCTCTCCTACAGTCCAGACGTTTGCTAGGCAACAGAACGTGATTGCACCTTACTTATTCCCAGGTGTTTATGTAACATTTGCATATTGTTAACTAACCAGTTGCGTGTATTCCTTTGTGAAAATAAGTACCGTGGCGTACTCATTTTCACAAAGCATTTGCATCCCTTCTTGGAGAGAGGAAACTTCGAAATAATTGTCTCCATATCTTCGCTAATTAGGCCTAATCACCGTATTTTAGCTTACATTTATGCATGGAGGGAGCACTTAAAATGTACAATAATCATTTCACTACAAGACAAATCCCAAGCTTTATTTATGCATTACATAAATAGTTTCATCTTGCTGTTACTACTCCAACATCACTGGCGCATGGTAAGAACCAACTGACTGCAGACAATTTCCGGTCACACATTACTCTCTATAACGCAGCACCCTGTAGTTCCGTCACCTCTGTGGGTCTTTCCCTTATTAGACAAATAACCTAGTTTATAACGAGCTCAGAATAGCGCACCCTATCGGTATGCTGCTCCTCCTTCTCTCTCAATTAAACAATCTTGTTAGGTAGTAGGCATCCTAATATATAATTTTAATAATAAAAATAATAACAACAACAACAACAACAACAACAACAACAACAACAGCAGCAGCAGCAGCAGCAGCAGCAGCAACAACAACAACAACAATAGACAACAACAACAATAATAGATTTATAAAGCGCCTAATGCAAACAAATAGCCTCAAATCGCTAAAGATATCTGTTGACGAAGTTAACCATATTGTATGAAGAGGCAAGTCTTTAGGGTTTTTATCGTCGGGGACAGTCTTAAGCCGTCGTGAGAAATATTAAACATGTTTAATATTCCACGACGCGACTGCCCCCGACGCAAACCATCGTGTCTGAGTTGGCCTTAAGTCACATTTAAACGTCGACACTGGTCTTACTGAGTCTTCGCAAATTTTTGCCCTTTGTCAGCTGCAGCTGCCACCAACTATGCATCTCCGGTCCTGTAAGTGGTCATGCTTTATACGATAAACGTGACCTAACCACCTCAACCTACGCTGTTTCAGCCATGTATACAAGCTGGCAGAACCTCAACATTTTACACCTTATCTTTACAGGGTATATGCAAAGGATGCGTTTTAGGTTTCTATGGTGAAAGGTGGTAAGTGTTTTCTCCTGTTTGGCATGTGGTCCAGAACTCGTTTTGTTTGTTTTTGTTTCCGTTTTTTTTTTTTTTATTCATTTCGTTAGGCCAATCAGAACATATGACGTGACTACATAATCGATTCGAAAAAAAAATCGCTAGTCGAGTATGGATTATCCTTGTTTGGGATAGGAGTGATCAATCCACGATTTATTATAAGTAGCGTACAGAAACGAGTAGGAACATCAACATCATCATCAATTAACATACTGATCACTAGGCAAATGTTTATGAGTGGTCAGAGTCCTATACCTAGAGTGTAAGCTTAGCTTATCTACTACTACCGTATCAGACTGGTATAGGACTATGATAGACCTACAGTAGTTCCTACCCATACATAAAAATTCTAAAGAACTTTAAAGACCTTCTATAGAGACTAATCAATTTCTACAGAAAAATTATAATTGTTTTATAGAGGAACTAGTTTCTATAGAATTCTATAACATACTATATACACATATTATTGTAATTTCTATGTTTTTAATTTTTTTGTTTCATTCAATATTTTATTGACACATTCGTGTCTGACTTGTATAGTCTTACCAACATGTTTTACATCTTGTATATTCTATAGAATTTCTATAGAATATTCTATACAAATGATATGACAAGTTCTCTATAATAAAACTATAAAATTTCTATATTTATTCTATAAAAAATTATAGTCCTTACCTGTATTTTTTGTTAATGTATTATAACAATTTTATAGGGATTATCTCTATAGGAACATATAAAATCTATATAGAGTATAATATATATGAAATTTCAATATAAATTTATTTATTTACAGTATATTCTGTAGAACTGTATAATATTTTAAACAGTCATTTTAAAAACTGTAACTTTTAATAGTCTGTAGAAAATATATATAAAAACTCTATGGAAACGTTTATAATTTGTAAAATTGTTTCTCTATAGAAAGTATATATAAAATGAATACGAACGCTATGGAAGGGTTATCTGTAAATGAAATATTAAAAATTATTTTGAAAATTATATCTATAAAAAATATGTATAGAATGTATATATAAAATCTATTCAAACTCTATGGAAAAATTTCTGGAACCGCTAATACATTGGTGGCCTTATGGGAACTTAATGGGGGGGGGGAGGGGTCTGTAGTCCCCTAAACTTATCCCTCACCTATTAACTTGACAAAATGTTGACAGCAAAATGTTATCAACAGCCTAACCTGTTTTCTGTGATAGCCCACCTTCCAACCAATACATGTTAGTGTCGAATTGCACAAATCTGATTGGTCACACCATCAGCTGATTTGAATTGTCACTTCATGTAGAGCCAACGGAAGCGGTAGTATTTTGAATTTTTCTCTGGACTTTCGTGATATTAGGCAGTTATAAATTCATACTTCTTGGAAGTATTTTAGCAATACTGCATTCACTATCAAGTGGTAAGAGTTGGTTTTGTTTTATTATTTAGTTAGTTTACTACTCTAGCAGACACGCTATCCTCCTCCTAGGCCTAGTAGTAGTGGTAGATGAAGGCTGGAATGAAGAGGCCTGGCCTAGCCTGAGGCCTACAGTAGCTGTACCGGTACTAGCCTAGCCGCCGTACAGAGACAGACAGAACTGAGGTTCTCTGTTCTCTCTAGGCCATTGAGGATATAGGGCTAGGCCTAGAAGCTGGGCGTTTTGTTGGCCTAGCTAAGCTGTAAGTTAATTGCCCCATAGTCTAGCATGTCATAAGAAGAGTGGTAAATTGCATTTGGGCCGTGTCCTCACTAATGTCTATGATGCTTTAATAAAATAATGGGTTTAGGGTTAACCGGAGAGGGGGTGGTGTAAAGAATTGTATCATTATTTGCAGAAAGTTAATGTATTAAATCCACAGTAGGCCTAGGCTATACTATAACATAAGTGGTGATTTTATTTCAGGATACTCAAGTCTCAGTTACTACTGTAATTAAGTGAAAACTCAATCCGGTCAACTCAATCTTGTAGTTGAAAGCATTAATGTTTGTTTAAAGACGTATCTGTAAAGGAACAGAAAAAATTACCTGACATTCTATAGTGCTTTAATAAAATAATCGGTTAACGTGTAAAAAAAGAATTGTATCATTATTTGGAGAAAGTTAATGTAATCAAAAGGCCTATACTAACAACATAAATGGTGATTTTATTTCAGGATACCCAAGTCTCGGTAACTACTGTAAGTGAAAACTCAATCCAGTCAACTCAATCATTGTAGTAGGAAAGCATTAATGTTTGTTTGAAGACGTATCGGTGAAGGCCAGAAAATTACCTGACTTACTAAAGGTGAATATAATGTTTTGTTGACGTTTTATTTTTACTTTCCTGTACTATTAATTATTAACAACATGCTATAGATGATGATGTCGTTTACACGATAGAGTTTAATCAAATTTAATGTGTACATATTAGGCCTATATAGGCCTTAAGGGATATTGAAATTGTA